ACTGGGGTATTACCTTTTTCCAGGCAGGTAAAGAGATGGAAAAAGCTAGAGAAGCAATATAGTGAAATGCAGAATTTTTATAACCCCACAACATAAAATATTTGATGATCTACTGTGGGGTAGTAGCAAGATTTTGTTAAAAATAAAAGGAAATCTTACTATTTTCCTCTTATAACATGGAAGCTATTTAGCACTTCTGAAGTTCATGAAGTGTGCTATCTAAAGTTGGACAAAAAAATTGGAGCAAAAGTCTCATTCCTCTAACCAAAGGTATGCGGTTTTAAGATGATTTAACTGTACTTTCACAGTTGTACCTCTACATGTTAAGTAATCTAGTACTAAAATTGTCGTGGTTTAACCCCGGCCAGCAACTAGGCACCACGCAGCTGCTCGCTCACTCCTCCCCACTCCCAGTGGGGTGGGGAGAACTGCAAAAAAAGTAGAACTTGTGGGTTGAGATAAGAACAGTTTAATAACTGAAGTTAAATAAAATACTCATACTACTACTACTAATGATGAAAAGGAATATAATAAAAAAATAAAACTAACAACAAATCCCAGAAAAGACAAGTGATGCAAATGTAATTGCTCACCACCTGCTGACTGACACCCCAGCTGCGATCTGCCCCTCCCGGCCAACTCCCCCCAGTTTATATACTGAGCATGACGCTCTATGGTATGGAATATCTCTTTGGCTAGGTCGGGGCCGGTGTCCTGGCCTTGCTCCCTCCCAGCTTCTTGTGTACCCGCTTGCTGGCAAAGCACGGGAAACTGAAAAACCCTTAACCTGGGATCAGCGGTACTTAGCAACAAGTAAAACATCAGCGTGTTATCAACATTGGTCTCACGCTAAGTCCAAGACACAGCGCTGTACCAGCTACTAGGAAGAAAATATACTGTATCCCAGCCGAAACCGGGACAAAAAAGTAAGTAAAAAAACAACGAGGAGAGATGTATTTATTGATAAAAAAGTATGACTTTGGCCTTAAAAAACCTCACAGCCCTCTGGCACTCGTTTCAGTTCGCTTACGGGGAAAGCCTATTCTGCAGCGGGGCCAGCGGGCATCGTTCGACGGGGGGGGGGGCAACACAGGGAAGCCACAAAGGTGTGTTATAAGAAAGCTTTAAAGTCCACGTAAAAAAATACGACGGAGGTCCCGGCCTTCGGGGCGCAGAGGCTGGCCCAGCAG